CGCGGACGTACGGGGGGCGAGGGGGGGGGAAAAGTGGCGGGGGGGGGGGGGAGCAATTTTCTATGCAAGTCTATAGAAATGCAAAACCTACCAGGTTCTGATAGTGTAGGAAGTGTGAAAGGGCCACATCCATGATGGGGCAGCATTAATAACAATGCATGGTCTGTACCGTTGCAACATCACTAACAGAGTAATTTTTCTTTCATTTGAAGTAGTATTAAACTATCTTTTTTTTTCAATAATAGCTCCAGATCAAACTAATTTAGATTGTCCTGCAATGTATTTATTTACAGTTTTGTCCAAATACTTAGTCACCATGTTTCTAAACAGCTCCAACTCTCTGAGCTCCGCTTTTCTAAACTTCCTGTTCAGTACAAGATTACAAGGGACAGAGCAGTCTACAGCAGCTGTCCATCTACTAGCTTGTAAATAGGAGAATATAGGAGGGAGGAAGGAGGAGCTGGGGCAGGAAGCAGGGGAGAGGCTTTGCTTTGCTGCACCTCTCTGTTTGTGGAGACACTCACATCTTACTAGCAGACACAAGGGTGGCTCCATAGGACCCTGCAACGGAAAGGAGCCACACCAAAGCAGAGTGCTCAGGGGACAAGCTAATTCTGCAGGAAACTAAAACTTTTATACATCAAGGAGCATCCACTGTAAGTGATTTAATCAGCATTTGAAATAGTTTAAAACACTTTTGACTTTAATATCACTTTAAATGTGACCACCTCTTGGCCAGACTAGGTACTTTATATGCTAAACACTGAAACATCCATTCAAACAATCTGATTATTCCAGCTCCAGGATTTAAGGATGGCTCAGTATTCACCAGGAAACCAACACGGGCACAAGCTCATTGCTTTTCCGTAATATGCGGTCCCGTACATAAGATAATGAGCAAATGTGCTTCAGTTGGCATTCATGTGTGCAAATATGTGCGCACTAGTGGTCATGCACACGAGAGTTAGCTTTGGTGTGCATGAACAGGGGCGTACAGGCATGTATACATACAAGTGTGCTTGTAGGCACCAGTCAGCTTATTTAAACCAGCATGGAGCTAGTTGCTGACTGGTCTTCAGCTTATTACCGTATGTCTGTGATCTTGTCTGCGTCTCTGTTTCCTGAAAGACGATCCTGGCTTGTGACTCTGACCCCGCTTCTGTCTACTGATTTGGTGCCTCGCTTCTGCTTCTCTGTGTTTGACCTCAGCTTGTGACCCTGACCTAGATCTTGATTACCTACCACACTGCTTCATTTGGACATTACCGACCTTAGCCTGCGTTCCCAAATTTAGTATCTGCTATCTGTTCCTGTACATTACTATCTGTAGTGGACAAGGTAGTTCCTGCTTTCTGTCGCGACTTAGTCAACGCACTCAAAACATCTGCACAAACTCCACTAGACCTGCATCCCAGGCACTCATGCGTTCCTGCATCCTCACTCTTCCTGTCACCTCTTTCACAAGCATTGGACAAGGTTTCAATGGTAATCTTCCTCTACTCAACTCAGTTTCCATTCAAGTACGTTACACAGGATCTTGGTGTTCCATGCTTTGAGTACAAGTAGCCTACCTTTTTTTTTATATAATCTTTAATTGTATGATGGACAAAGTTAAGTACAGTAAACATAAAACAACAAGTAAATTCTGCCATCTTAAGGTTTTATATTGTTTTTCAATATGTAATAATGAAAAAGAGGAAATATTATACATAAACCAGTTCAGGTGCTATTTCTTCTGTAAAGCAAAACTAGTAGGGAGCAGTGGTGTATAGCACGTAGAAAGGTCAGTACCAGAGGGTAGGTGGGGAAGGGGCAGGACTTAGGAAACATTGGGGGACATGGGGGGGATGAGGGTATATGGCAGTAGATGATCTCTAGGGGGAGAGCAGGGGGGAACAGAAATACACCAATAACAGAACTAAAATAAACTCTATCTGTATAGGTCTGTGTTAAGGATAGTAGGAGGAGATTTAGAATCAAATGTTTGTACTACAAAGTTCATGAGTACTGGTAGGAGTAAAAAAAAATGTAATAGGCATTGTTCCCTTGGATACCCCCTACCTTGCCTAAAGGAAAAAATGAGGTGAAGAAGCCCTTCTGTGTGAGGTTCAGAGATATAATGAAGCCGAGCGAGTGCAGTAGAATATTGGTCTTTACAGGTGGCCACCCATTGTTCCGCTTCTATTATTTTGCTTACTCTTGATCCAGTTTGTTCTGTTTGGCAATGTGGTCTGTTTCCAAAAGGGAATTCAGAGTTTGGCAGCATTTAGTAGGTGTGGTGGCCTACCTTTTTATATCTTTTGGGTTGTTTTTCCAGATCCACAACAAATTTTTAAAAGTTGTAAAATAAACAACAAAACCAATCTTTTTAAAGGGCCACTATTGTAAACAAAAAAAAAAGGCATTGATGGTATTCTGTGTAGGGATGTTCAGATACCAGCGCCGATACTCTGCATTTTCACGAGTTGCAGTGGTTGCAGGTGGGACCTAGGTTTATCGCTCCACCACTATCCTGAAATCATTAGTCTGTATTGCTTTAGAAAAACTGTCACATGACAATAAACAAAAATGTATCAGTACTTGACAAGTATCAGTACTTGTACTTGAAAAAATTGTATCAGTGCATCCCTTATAAATATTTGTAAAACATTTGTTTATAGATTAAAACAGAGATGCACAAATCCCAGGAGCCCCGTAGCGAATGCTCCTTAAAAATGGCAGCTGCCTCCTGAATTTTTCTCTAGTCTAGTCTGGGAGCTGGAAAAGTATCTGTACATGTTCTTGTACCGAGGACAATACTTGGTATCTGAACATCCTTAATCTGTTTATCTATATTTCCTCTACACATATACATACAGGTCATACTGTCCAGCAAAAACAGACTGCAGCAGGGATTGAGACAAATGTTAAAGTGACATTAGGGCCAAAACCCCCCCCCCCCCAGCCACAGTGCTAATGTAAGGACTTACCTTAGATAATTCTTCTTAATCCGATCTTCTTCTTTCCAGGAGTTTTTCGCTGTCCCTCCAGCGCTAACTCCTCTGTCCTCCTTTTCTTATATCTTATATATCTTTAGGACTTTTATTTTTGACTAAAAAGTAATTCATTCTTTAGGTCCAAAGTGTAATATTAATTTCTATATGTATTTCAAGAATAAGAAATATTTAATTATTTAATCCTTCCAACAACAATTGAGATAAGATAAGGAAACAAGGATCAGACTGCTTC